TTTTTTTTATCTAAAAAGTTATAATAAATTTTGAACATATATATACGAATAAGAATTTACTTATATATCAGTTTTACACACTATATTTATATAAAATATTAACAATTTATCTTTTTATTTTTAATAATTAAGATTTATTCATTTTTTCTCAATTTATAAAGGGTAATTATCTTTTTTTTTTATCTAAAAAGTTATAATAAATTTTGATAATTGAAAGTAAAAAAATAAATTATTTAAATTTCATATAAATATGATGTATAAAATTTGTATATAAATAAATCTTTATTTTAAAGTAAATTATAGGAAACTTATTTTTTGAAAAACATAAAAATTCTCCATCATCCATGCTAGGATTACATAGAACGTTATTTTTTTTCATAGTGCAAGCATGCTTGTGAACAGAACCCTCAAATAGATGATGATTTTGAATAATTTTGTAATACAAGGATAGTAACGAACAAAATCTTGGAGTATAGGGACCATACTTAGCTTTAAAGTTTTACAATTCCTTTTAATGCCTGACACGTGGAACTTAATTTGGAGATAAACTCAGACGGTGCGTTTTGAGAGCAAAATCGTCCCGCCGCTCGGGGAACCAGAGTCGCGAAAAGTCAGTTCATCACCCGCCGCCTCATCGCCGTTTTTGGCCGGCGATTTCAATTTCTGGCAGCGAATCGGTCGAAAGATAAAGAGGAACAAGGAGCAAAGTTGAGGATGCCGAATCGAGGGTTCATTTGGGGTGTTAATATTCTCAGATCATTCTCGCAACTCGGGTCCGCCTCTGCAGTTCCTCACGTTCAAAGATCGTTTCTTTTTTCCACAATTTCCACTTCGTCGCTTTCACTTCCCCGTTTTTATTCCACAGGTAACTTTTCCAGCTTCTTTATTTATTTATTTTTATTTTAGTTTTGTATTTATACTCAATTTTACATTTTGGGCTAAGTGCTGTCTATTTTTCTTGTTTCAGTTAAAATTTTGATATCCATCTCCTTGTAGAATCATCTTTCTGTTTAGTTGTTAGCGGGTATGATGCTACATGTCTTTCAATCCAGCGTTTTTCTCCATTTGCTGCTGAGCAGTATTATGCAATGGTACTATTGTGTGTGTGTGTGTTTGTTTTTTTTTTTTTTTTTTTTTTTTGAATGAGAGCAATTAGTACATAGTTTAGGTATATGGGACTGGGGAAAAGGGGTCTCATGGGTTCGAAGACACAACCCACGGAAGGTGATCCCACTAACCCAAAGCGTGGATCCATCAATGGTACTACTGTTTGATGTTTGTCTTTCATTTTTTTTTTTTAAGGAATTATATGGTTTGAGGTCATTGTTGGTTGAATGTCCTGAAGAAAGGACATGCTTGATATGGCAATGGAGGAATTGGGTCAGGCTCTTGAAGAAGAAAAAATGTGAGTCACCATGACATGATTGAAATTATATGTTGATTATCCCCTTAAAGATAAAAGATTAGAATCATCAGTCACAAAGCACAACTGACTTGAGAATTGTTGACTTTTTTGGGTTGATAACAGTTTAAGTTCGAAGTGGTAGATATAACTGAGTTTTGTGCAGTATTCTGCAATAAATTTATTTGATAGCTATCCTTTTATCACTAATTAAGTGTATTAAATCACTAAATTCCTCTTGCTCTCCGAACGGATAGCTGTATTTGGGATTCTTCAGGTGGATGTCCATTTAAGGAATGAAGATTTGAGGATTGATACCTATAGATCTGATGGTTCTGGTGGTCAATATGCAAATACTACTAATAATGCTGTTAGAGTAACTCATTTGCCTATTGGGGTAACAGTTGCTATGCGAGATGAACGATCCCAACATATGGTAAAAGGTCATAATCATTATTATTGTTTTGCATTTCATTTTTCTTCAGCATTTAGAGCAGAATTGGCCTTTTCTTTGCATTTATTGACACAGTGATTGTGAGGGTGGAAACATGGACTTGTTCGTTTTGCTTCTTTTGCATCCTTTCTCTATTGTCACTGTTAAGGGACTTTCATTTCTTTCTAAATCATACAAGAGCAGAGCAACAATATGTCATTGAATAATGTTATAATGTTATATTGTTTTACATGGTTACCAGTTGGAAAGGGCCTTATAGTCTTGTCGACTGGTTGCCATGTTCTAGAAAGATGGAAAGAGATAAACTCGTCCAAGAGCATGTTTGATGAAACTTGTAAATACTTCAATTTTTTAA